CCGCTGTTCTCATTGTCACGTACTTCTTATTACCGCTAAGTTTCCAAGGGCACTCCCGACCTCGATGGTGTTACCACCGTTGTTGGTGGTGGTAGCAGCAGCGGCCCCTACATGAAAGCCTGGTGGAAGAGCTCCATCTTGCAGGCCCTGCGGAACTGCATAAGGTCCCGCAGGGCCCTGATCTCCTCCGGGAGCTCATTCCACCAGGTAGGTGGATCTAGCCCTTGTCGCAGCGAACTTTAACTCTCGTGGGCCCGGAACCACCAACCGGTTCTCGGTCCCCGACTGAAGTGCTCTTGGGGGTATATACGGGGAAAGGCGGTCCCTCAGGTAGGTCGGACCCAGGCCATATAGGGCTTTAAAGGTGAGTCCCAGCACTTTGAAGCGGACTCGGTATGCTATTGGCAGCCAGTGCAGCGCCTTCAACCCAGGCTTGATGTGCTCCCACCTGGGGAGGCCCATCAGCAGCCTAGCCGCCGCATTCTGCACTAGCTGCAGCTTCCGGATCAGCGACAAAGGCAGCCCCATGTAGAGAGCGTTACAGTAGTCTAGCCTTGAGGTGACCGTCGCATGGATCACTGTAGCCAGGTCTTCGCGGTCGAGGAAGGGAGCCAACTGCCGAGCCTGCCTCAGATGGTAAAATGCAGACCTGGCAGTGGCTGCTACCTGGGCCTCAATCGTTAAAGAGGAGTCCAGGAGCACTCCCAAACTCCTAACCTCCGACGCAGGCACCAAAGGCACCCCGTCGAAGGACGGGAGAGGGAGCCCCAACCCCAAACCGTTCCGACTCAGGCCCAGGACCTCCGTCTTCGTTGGGTTTAGTTTCAACTGACTCAGCCTGAGACACTCAGCCACGGCCTGTAATCCCTGGTGTAGATCTTCCGGGTCGGAGCCCGACCGGCCGCCCAACATCAGATAGAGCTGGGTGTCATCTGCATACTGATGACAACCCAGCCCATACCTCCTGGCAATCTGGGCGAGAGGGCGCATATAGATGTTAAAAAGCATCGGGGAAAGCACTGCCCCCTGAGGCACACCGCATTCAAGCGGGTGCCTCTGGGACTGCTGTTCCCCTATTACCACTCTCTGTCCCCGGCCTTGGAGAAAAGAGGCAAACCATTGAAGGGCAAGCCCCTGTATCCCCACGTCGGCGAGGCGGTGGGTCAACAACTGGTGGTCGACCGTATCGAACGCAGCCGACAGATCTAACAACACCAGTGCCGCCACACCACCTCGATCCAGATGCCTCTGGAGGTCGTCAGTAAGGGCAACCAGCGCCGTCTCCGTCCCATAACCAGGGTGAAAGCCGGACTGAAGTGGATCCAGGACAGAAGCGTCATCCAGAAAGCCCTGGAGCTGTACCGCCACCGCCCTCTCGATCAATTTGCCCAAATAGGGCAAATTAGACACCGGCCGATAGTTGGCCCATTCGGTCGGGTCTAAGGTTGGTTTTTTCAGGAGAGGGCGGACCATCACTTCCTTAAGTGCCGCAGGGAACCGTCCCTCCACGAGGGACTTGTTAACAATCTCCCGTATGGCACCTCGAAACCCCTCGTGGCCCGCCTTGATGAGCCAGGAGGGGCACGGATCCAAGGAGCATGTGGTTGGACGTACAGTTACGAGCAATCTGTCAACTTCCTCCAGACTGAATGGGTCAAAACATTCTAAGCCCAACGAGGACGTGCAAGGGGCCTCAAGTTCGCTCACTGTTTCAACTGTGGCGGGGAGGTCGCGGCGGAGCATGCACAACAGGAAAGCCAATGGGGGGGGGACAACAACAGGAAAGGCAGAGTATAAATGTTTTAATAAATAATTTACAATGTTTAAAATAAATATTCCTGAAATGCCAGGCAAAGGATATAACAACTCCCCTCATAACCCTCCCCCCTCTTCTGCATTTTGGTCCTCAGTTCCCTTTCCCCTTGCCCAGAAAATGACCAGAGAGTCCAGAATTGGGTTAGAAAATTTACAGGACACCATCTTGGAACTTTTATTCTGGTTTCATAGTTTTTATCAAATTGTATATTGAATTTTAATTTTTTGGTATACTTTTATGGTATTATGCCCCTTTGTACATTGCCCAAGGCCCAGAGTAAGCTGGGATAAGACAATTAATACACTGAATAAATAATAATAAAAACAATAACCATTAGCAAGATTGTACTCCAGCAACAGACTGAGGAGATCACAAAACCCTCAAGGAGATAAATATTTAAACAAACCAAAATCAGAAGTGCACAAAATGGAATGGGTGTGAGCTTTGACTCAGAAAAGCTTACAATGGAATATTTATTTTATTTATTTCATTTATACTGCACTTTTCCCCCAGCAGGGATGCAAAGTGGCTTACAACATTCTCCCCTTCTCCATTTTATCCTCACAACAACCATGTATTTGCACATATTTCTTGGCTACAGGACACATTTACAATTATAAAATAGTCATGATAGTGGAACTAAATATTAATACCATCCCTCCTGATAGCACATTTTTCCTCTATAGTAATACTTTACATTTCATGGCTTGGTTTTACAAGACTGGAAAGTGGTTACCTCAGATAAGTTTCTCTTATATATTTAAAAGGAGCAAAAAATGTGGCACTAGCTGTGGACATCAAGCTGTATTAGCGATTTAGTTCATTCCTGCAACAGTCCTGAGGGCAGCAGTTACTCGAAAGTCTGATTACAGAGTCCTGAATTTCTTGAAGTATGCATTGGCAAAAGTTAGCTGGTGTGTACTACTGCTTTTTCAATGCCATAAAAGGAGGTTAGGCAAGCTCAGAATGTACAGTGCAACCCACTTCAAAACATGATGCTTTTGCAACTGGGGGGGGGGGGGGGGTGAGGATCTTCCGAACATAAACAATCCTCTTACCATGTCTTCAGTTCCAATTATAGTTGAAATGTGTTCCTCACTGAATAAATTCTGGATTAAAGATCACAGTACTAAGTTTGAGCTATTATTAAAGTGTAACAGCTAATAAAAAAGGCAAGTAGCAAATAATGTGAGAGTGTGTGAAAGGAGAACAGGACTGGTTAAAAGTTAACAGAAATCCATTTTAAATCATTATTGCTTCCCATTTTTCATTTTCGTCTCCAGAGCTAGAAATGTAAACTTCCATAGTGTAATGTTGATTATGCATATCATGATTATCCAAATATGCTGTACAGGGCCAGCCTCAGGGCTTCTGGCGCCCTAGGCTACCTGTTGGCCTGCCATCACCACCCTGCAGCCAGCCAGCCCGCCCCTGCCCCCCACCGCCGCAATCTGCCACTGGCTCTGGAACACTCTGAGCCTCAGGCTGCCACAAAGGAGGAAGGGAATGGAGCCTGTGGGCGGCAGAACCAGTGGTCTCCTGATCTTCCTTCTCAGGTGCAAGGTAAGGGAAGGTGAGCAAGGCAACCACTTGCCACCTGTAAACATATTTTGGTGCCCCTGGTGCCCACTACCCTCTGGTGCTCTATACAATCACCTAGGTCCACCTAGGGGTGGGCTGTGTCTGATGCTGTGTATCTACCATGCTACCACAATGATTTATCAGGGTTAGAAAACCATTCCCAATTATCTAAGCTTCTGACTATTCAGATTTTCTCTGTGCTATCTTAATAAATGGGACACTGCAGACAAATACTAGCTCTAGGGCCAAGCAATATGAAGACAATGACTATGTCCGTTCAAGTCCCCCTCAAAGCCATATGAAGAGCAGATGAATTCTTACCTTGTGGTGTGAAAAGTCATTCAATATTGTGCCAAGCTTCTTGGTGTTGGCATGAAGCTTATGAGCAGCAATTGCTGGATTGGGATCCCGCCAATCGATGGATAGGCGATGGTACCAGAGATGTCCCTCTTGAATATGTGCTGATCTGATGCTAGGGTCAAAGCGATGCACCTCACATCCACTGTTGGCCATGCTCAGCTCAAACTGGTTATCATCATTGCCCAGTCTTACCAAAACAGTCAGGAAAAGTATTGTTACTTTCAAACAGAAACAAACTTACAAGGATTCTTTTTATGATTTATATTTTACCCTAATGGGATATATTGAATATATATTCTCATTTGAAATATATAAACAAACAGAAAAGTGGCCATAGATACTACAGTTCGCCTCTGTTTAATTGTCATTAGACAACAGATTATATTACATTTATTTTCTCCCCAGAAAAGTGAATGGCTTCTGTTGACTACTCTGTGAGAAACAAAGCACTACAGTTAAAATAAGAGCAAAATCAAATTCCTACCTCAGACATAGGGTTGCCAGGTCCTGCAGACTCCCCAGCGGGGGACTTTGGGGAGCGGACTTTGGGGGGCGTTCCTGTAGGAGGCAGGGATATCCCCAATGTGATGACATCACACTGCGGACATCACCATCCCAAGTCCACCCCCAACAACTATGACTCACCACTACTCCCTCTCCCTTCCCTCCTGCGAGATTTAAAGGGCCCACCAATCAGCTGGGCCTTTTAAAACTTACAGGAGAGGAGGGGGGCAGCCGCTGGCCATGCACCTGAACTCCAAGTAGCAGGCACGAAAGCCCCCCTCCCCGCTGCCCAGAAGCATTTAAAGGGATGCTTCTGGGCAGCACGGTTTGCTTGCCTGAACTCTAAGTGGCCAAGCTGCTTGGAATTCAGGCGAGAGAGGCCCCCTCCCACTGCCCAGAAGCATTTAAAGGGACCCTATTAATGCTTCTGGTCAGCAGGGCTGCATGCACCTGAATTCAAAGTGGCGAATCCCTGCTTGGAGTTCAGGCGTGCAGCAGTGGCTGCCTCTCTCCCTCTCCTCCTGTAAGATTTAAAGGGCCTGATCAGCTGGAGAGTCCTTTAAATCTCTCTGGAGAGAAGGGGTAGCCACAGGTGGTCAGGCTTAAGGGCGGGCTTGGGGGCAGGGCTTCTTTCACTGGCCAGGTGACCAGCAGCGGGTTGAAGCCCCAAAAATCAGGGAAACCCCCACCCAGACCAGGGGTCTGGCAGCCCTACTGAGGCAGCAAATTCTAATACATTGCATATGTGAGTTAAGCATATCCAGGCAGAGGATGGCACAAGATAAAATACCTGTGCAACTGCATTTCCATGTGTCTGTCTCACCAATCAGTCCTTATGGATTATGCTGCCACAAAATTGCTTAACAGGGCGATTTGGAAATGATGGTACAACAACCATACATTGTGTCCCAAAGGGTAGTTAATATGTGCATGCCGCGTGTTCGATTTTGCATCCTCTGATGGCTCACAGCTGAACGTATAAACTGTCTTCGCCTGAAAACTCCTGGAGACAGTGAAACAAAAGTTCTGTCTGTGGTTTGTGAGCTGTGGTGGCCTGTGGTGGCTCACAGCTGAATGTATAAACTGTCTTCACCTGAAAACTCCTGGAGACAGTGAAACAAAAGTTCTGTCTGTGGTTTGTGAGCTGTGGTGGCCTGCTCTGACAGATATGGCACTAGAGACAGAAAGGTCCAGAAAAAACAAACAGAAAGATTCAGAAACTAATTTTCCCCCCACGGATGTGTTCCTCATTTTCCCAATGGAAAAACTGGGAGATTTGGGGAACCAGTAGGAGGGGAAATCCTCTTGTGAAATATTTCTCTTTGAGAATGAGTGACAAGTGTTTCAAGATAATGTTTAGTCACTTCAGAATATGTAGCATCTTCCAGTACCAAGGAAATTATAAGATCATCCTGGGTTTTACGATTTAATTGTCTGCTACTTGCTGGCTCAATCTATCAAGCCATAATTTATTTTATTTATTTATCATTCGACTTGATATACTGCCCTAACCCCCGTAGGGGTCTCTGGGCGGTTTACAATTCTTGGGTGCTAGTCACCTATATCAACCCTAACTACGGCCACATCATTTCAAGGGAGGGGCTGCCTACCGGCACCCTGGTGGAGGCTTGGTGTCGTCCACTTTTCCCGGCTCGGCTTCTTCTTTCGGCTGTGAGATGTCCCAGTGCTTAGGCAGACAGGCGGATGGATGGATCGCCGGCGACGTTGTCCTCAGCCCGACTGTGTCCTTCCGGCTCCGCGCCTCTGGATGATGTCACTGCGCCTCCAACCTCCGTCGACGACAGCTGCCCTGCTCTTCCGCTGCTGGCCACCAGGGATCAGTCCCCTTCTGGCTCTGCTGCCGCCGCTTGCCGCCTTCAGTGTTACACCGCCTCCTCCTCCTCCGATCGTCCGCCGCTGCTGCTCCGCTGCAGCCGCCGTTCTCGCCGTCGCCATTGCCGCCGCTGCCACTCCACACACACCTCCATGGGAGGAGGAGGGTGCCCCCCACCCTACTAAGGGTGGGTACCCATTTATCTACTCGCCGATAGGTAGTTACTTGGCTTTCAAACCGCTGGGTGGGCAACACTCAGTAACAAGGTATAGCTATATCAAATGGCTTATTCAAAACAACAAAAATTAAGATAAACACAAACCTAAATCAGATAAACACATCCCTGGAGAGTGCTTGGAAGTTATCTGAAGCCACACTTATTGAAGCCCAGACAGAACCCATTTCACAGGTTAGGAAAAGCACTACCCAATCTAAAAGAATGCCTGCATGGTTAACAACACAAGTCAAGGACAACTATAAAAATTAAAGAAGCTTCTTTTAAAAAGTGGAGATCTGGCCCAATGAATTGAACAGGCGGTTCCACAGGCTCTGGCAAAAGAAAAGTAAATCAGTAATTAGGCATGCAAAAAGAGAATCTGAGAAGCAGGTTGCTAAAAGCATCAATACAAATAATAAACATTTCTTTAAATATATCTGGAGCAGGAAACCAGCCAGAGAAGCAGTGGGGCCTTTGGATGACAAAGGAATAAAAGGATTTCTAAAGGAAGATGGGGAAATGACAGAGAAGCTCAATGAATTTTTTTACTTCTGTTTCACTGTGGAAAGTGTGGGACATATACCCATACCACAGATACCAATTTCAGGAAGGGAGTCTAAAGAACTGAACCAAATCGAGGTGACCACATATGACGTTCTAGACCTAGTGGGGAAATTAAAAACCAGTAGGTCTCCGGATCCTGATGGCATACATCCCAGAGTTCTTAGGGAACTCAAATGTGAGACTGTTGATCTACTAACCCATAGATGTAACATCACTAAATTCAGCCAATGTACCAGAAGATTGGATAGTAGCAAATGTTACACTGATTTTTAAAAAGCAGTCTAGAGGGAAACCAATAAGTTACAGGACAGTTACCCTAACATTTGACCCTGTCAAATTAGTAGAAACTGTAATCAAAGATAGACTATATTAGGCATATAGAGAGACAAAGCCTGATTGGGGGGGGGGGGCGCATGGCTTCTGCAAAGGGAAGTCCTATCTCACCAACCTTCTGGAGTTCTTTGAGAAAGCAAACAAGCAAGTAGATAACAGTAACCTGGTAGATATACTTGGACTTTCAAAAGAATTTTGACAAGGTACCTCACCAAAGACTCCCAAGGAAACTTAGCAGTCATGGGAAAACAGGATGGGTTCTTTTATGGATTAAGAACTGGTTAAATGTCAGGAAGCAAAAAGTAGGAATCAATGAACAGTTTTCACAAATGGAGGGAAGTAAGCAGTGATGTCCCAGAAGGATCGGTATTGGAACCAGTACTATTTAATTTATTCATAAACGATCTGGAACTAGGGGTGAGTTGTGAAACAGCCAAGTTTACAGATGACACAAAATTATTCAGGATGGACCAAGGCTCCAGGAGGATCTTCATAAATTGGAGGAGTGGGCTACAATGTAGCAAATGAAGTTCAATGTTGGTAAGTGTAAGGTGATGCACTGTGCTCAATGGGACAAAAAAAAATCCCAGCTTTAAGCATAGGCTAATGGGGTCTGAATTTGCTGAGACTGAGAGGGAAAAAGAACTTAGGGTCATAGTAGATAGCTCAATGAAAGCGTCAACCCGGTGTGCTGCAGTGGTAAAAAGGGCAAACTCTATTTTAGGGATTATATGGAAAGGGACTGAAAATAAAATGGCTGATATTGTAATACCTCGGTATAGATCTATGTTGCAGCCACATTTGGAATACTGTGTAGTTTTGGTCACTGTATTTCTAAAAGGACATCAGAGTTTGAAAAAGTGCAACCTAGGAGGTTGCAGCACTTTCTCTATGCAGAAAGGCTAGAAAAGAGACAACTAAGGGGGGACATGATAGAGGTTTATAAAATTACAAGAGGTGGACCTGCGATACTCGCGGGGGTGAGGTGGGGAGGGAGGCAGAGCTGCAAACGGCGGCTCTAGTGGGGGAGGGATGGAGAAAAAGCCGCGAGGGGTAAGGGGTAGAGCGGCGGCTCTAGTCTTCTTCCTACCCATTACTTTCTGCCACGGATGCAGATACCGACCGCCACCGCCGACTCCCCCGCCCCCTCGCCGCCAGACACTTGCCCGGGAGCCCGCGCAGCAGCCCCATGGCCTCCATGGCTAGCTGAGCCGCTGCACGTCACACCCGCCCCAGCTCCGGAAGGTAAGGAATTGCACCAGCCAGGCCGGGAGGAAGGCGCTCAGAGCTGCTGCTTCTGGGGGTGGGACACAACGGCCATCCCGGATCGCCTGGCTCTCCCCCGCCGGCTCGCCGCTTACCTTCCCAGCGGTGGCGGCGTCTGCGGCGGTCGCAGAGCGTCCCCTGCGCATGTGCAGGGGACGCTCTGTGAGTTTCGGGGGGATTTAAACATCCCCCCGATTTTTTTTCACCATTTAGGATTTTTGTGCACATGTGGGGACTGCCCCACGTGTGCACAAACCTCTCCCTGCCCCCCAAGTGCCCCCGAAGTGCAGATATAGATATCCGCAAAGATGGGGGCACTTCACTATTAGATATATAGATGCATGGGGTGGAGAGAGTTGGCCAAGAGAGCTTTTTCTCCCTCTCCGAAAGTACTAGAACTCGAGGGCATCCAGATTCAGGATGGACAAAAGGAAATGCTTCTTTACACAGCAAGTTATTAAACTGTGGG